CAAAATCGAAATCCAGCCAACATACTAAACAAGTGAGCAATTTGTGATTCAAGTAACGAAGCACATCCCTTTGATTTTTCGTTTTTAGAAAAAAAAATCGTGAACAAGGCTGTCGACTCCCCCGATTTACCAGATGCGAATCACCAGTCAAACGAATTCACATCCACCTCACTTCGTTATCAGTTCTCATTTCTCAATACATATTGAAATCAAAATCATTCGCCCTTATAACTCCATCTCCAATTGATTTCGACCCTCAACCCATTGAAATCGACTCTAAATTGATATCAGATGTGAAAGAACGAAATCAATCAAACTAATTTTGACTTCAAAAATTCAACTGCAAATCGATTTCTTCAAAGCGTTTGATTCACCATTGAGGAGCGACCTCTCATCATCCTTCCGAACAACATCACCCCAAAACACCCCTGATACCGTCGCTGTGTTTCTCTTCCTTAATCCAACGAAGACGAGCATCGGAGGATCTTTCCCTTTCATCTTCTTTGCTGTTGATGACGGTAAAGGAACGAAGAGTCACTGATTGCCTTCATTCGCATCTGCCTTCATATGTATTCGACTGATTTCATTTGTATCCTCCACTTCTCGACCTGTTGGAAGACGGGAACTAAGGTTCCCCAAAAATCAATCGTTTGAATCATCTACTAACCCTTTCATTAGTTTTAGAGAGAGAGAGAGGGGGGAGGAACATATGCGTATTATTCTCTTTTTTAAAAAAAATAAGTGAAAACATCATAAATGATCCCTGTGGTAGTGAAATGACGAAAATGCCGTTCAGTTAACGAACAAAATTTAACAGAGTTAGCAATAAGTACCAATCGTCAAAAGTTTTGAAAGCACAGAGACCATTTATGAGGTTTTTAAACCACGGTGACTAAACTTCAGAATCTGGGAAAACACAGGGACCATTTATGATGTTTTTTTGTATTTATATATATATATATATTTTAAGTACTTTACATATATTTTTTTGTGTGTTTTTATGTGTTTTTTTTTATGTATTATGTATTTATATAAATTTTTGCGTATTTATGTATTTTTTTAGTTTTCTTATATAGATGTTTATGTATTTTTATGTACATTAAATGTTAAAGTGTATTAGTTTTATGTAAAAAATATATAAACACGTAAAAATAATACAATTAAACATTTAATATATATAAAAATACATAAAAATCTATATAAGAAAACCAAAAGAATACATAAATATGCAAAAATACATATAAATACATAATACATAAAAAAACACAAAAAATATGTAAAATAGTTTAAAAAAATACATATAAATACGTAAAACAATAAATACATAAATATACAAAAACATCTATATAAAACACTTAAAAGAATACATAAATACGTAATACATAAAAAATATGTAAAATACTAAAAAATAGATGTAAATACGTAAAAAATACGTTTATATATTTAAAATACATAAACATCTATATAAAAAACTTTAAAAATACATAAATACGTAAAAATACATAATACATATAAATACACAATACATATAAATACATAATACATAAAAAATTACACATAAATATACATAAAAAAATAGTATGTAATATTGTTTAAAATACATATAAATAAGTAAAAAATACGATTATACATTTAAAATACATAAAAATACGTAAATATATATATATATATATATATATATATATATATATAAACATAATAAATACACAAATACGTAAAATTTGATATAGATATGTAAAAAAATATGTTTATACATTATATAAATTTTTTGACGAAATCTGCAAAAAAAAGTTCCGTTATTTTTGAAAAATTAACAATTTGGTCCCATGACCTGCTGAACATGTCAAAAAGAGCTAAAGTAAATAAATTAGCAGGTTTCTTGGGCTTTTCTATTAAAAATGAGAAAAAATCAGGACTTTTTATTCAAAAAATAAACTTTAGGACTTTATTAAAAATTTGCCCAAAATATCGGGACTTTTTTTTTGATAAAATAACACAAATTTGCTTTTATGAATAACCTTTTAAATAACCATTCCCAAACACCCCTAATTCAGTCTCCGCCGACCACTCCGTTTGTACGCATGACTTCTAAAATGCCCCATATTTGCAAAAAATACTCCCTGCTTGACGGCCGACTTTAATCGTGCTCCATTCTCCGCCATTGAAGCTTCCATTTTGCCGCCTCCACTCCCTTGCTCGAGAGAAACAGGTGCGGTTCGTTAATTTGCTTAGAAGAAACAATATTAATTTCTTATTTATATACTAAGTGATCATTGTGCTCAATCCTCATGTGCTACATCCTCCGCCATCTTAACTTCTTATTTCGCTATATTCGGTGGTCATTTTTCTTATACAAAAATATTGTTTTACATTCTGTGGTTGTTTTACTGTTGTTTGGTCCTGTGGTTTTTTTAGCATAAACAGTTAGAAAAAACTGCTTGGTAATGTGACCTTTTATTCTTCAAAGCATAAACATTTACATTAAATGTTAAAGTGTATTATTTTTACGTAAAAAATATATAAACACGTAAAAATAATACAATTAAACATTTAATATATATAAAAATACATAAAAATCTATATAAGAAAACCAAAATAATACGTAAATATACAAAAATACATATAAATACATAATACATAAAAAAAAATTAAAAAAAAAAAACAAAAAAAATATACGCAGCAGATTTTTAAAAGATTTCGGTTAAAAAAAAAAACACAAAAAATATGTAAATACGCAGCAGATTTTTAAAAGATTTCGGTTAAAAACCCGCCTCTTCCCCACCACACAGCATTGGGCTGGACTTTTCTCACCTCTTCTAACCTAATCTTTAAAAAAAAAAAAAAAAAAAAAAAAAGACGCACTAAACGAAAAAAAGAAACACAGAAGATCGCTCCAGCCGTTCTCCTTCTTCGTTCTCAGCTCTCTTCTCGTCGATCGCCGACTCCAGCCGCTCGCCGGTCGCCGCTGCTGCTTCCCGGTGCTCGTTCTTTGCTGCCATCGTCAGGTTCTCACTATAATCCTTAAATTTCTTACCCTTCTAACCTCAAACTGATTCTAATCTTCCATTTTCTTCAACCAGTATAGGATAGATTCAAAGCCTGGGAATCTTCTGGGGTTACAATTATCCCAGTGTTGCCCAGCCTGCTGATAGTTGTGCTAGTGAGTTAGGGGATGTACCGGCAGCTTTTGCAAGAGCTAAACAGCTCTATGCACTAGAGTCAATCGGGGCTGTGCTTTGTGGTCAAAAACAGATGGCTGAGGTTTTTTTTTTTTTATTTTTTATTTTTTATTTTTTATTTTTTTTATATATATATAATTTTTTTGTAAATTGCAATCAGTAGCATTCAATTTGCTATTTGGGTTACTTATCTTTTGGGTTGTCATTACACTATTGAATTGGATTTCAACCGAGTAAGTAATTCTTGCATATTGGATTTCAACCCAAAATGTTATTTGTTTAAAAGATGATTGGCCTAAAGAGCAAATTAGCCCTTTTATAAGTTGACAGGGAAATTGTTATTGATAATAGTAAATTAGTAATGTTGTTTGATACGAATGTTTTTTGTAGGAAGTTACTTCTATTCTTGTTGACAATGGTGTACCTAATGAGAAGATTTTGAAAAACTTTTGAGGTTCAAAATCCAAAATGGTGGATTGTTGTATACTTTAGTTATAATTTATTTCAAGCATCTCAGTTTGGAATCATGGAATAACATCAGTTTTTTTAGATGTAAATGTACAATTTTACCCTCATAGAAGCTCTCCACATGTTGGAAACTAGGTGATACCGAAGGGCAAGAAGACTGTGTACTCTATATATTTATTTACTCGGTATCAAAATTTAATGGTCCAAATTCTGAAGTGTATGCATTGTTTGACAACATTAGAGAATCGAATTTTGTTCCTTTGATCTTTGGTGCCAAATTCTAAAAAAGTTTGGTATTAAAAAACTATTTTCGGTTTATTAAATTACTTTATTTAAAATCTTTTAATATCTGCAGCAGCCTGTAGACATTAAAAAAACAAACATGCTTCACATTACAGTCTCCAGCACTTTGGTCCACCTCTTCTGTTGCAGAGGGCTGCAGAGGTGGTCCGCAGACTTCAGACAGTTTCACTTCGAAAAAACAAACAACACCTTAAAAAACAATCTGTTTTTTTTTTCTCTTTAAGTCACAAATACATCTCAAGTTTTTTTTGTTCTTCAATTTTGTTAATGTTCACTACTATCCTTTTGTCTTTCTTTCATCTTCCTTGATCAAATTTAAAGAAGAGTACTACTTTTGTTCAAGTTTTTGTGATTCCACCTTTTCGCAATAGTCCTTTGGATGAGCTAATCTATATGATGATAATTGTTCAGCTATTAGTCTTAATAATAGTCCTGTAGGTGTGATTTGTGATTCACTGATAGTTTTTGTTATGTTTAGATTATAATGGCTATAGTTTACTTATTTTTAGATTATAATTGCTATTATCGTTAAGGTAACTATATATTTGAGTTTCTAATAACCCGTCACTAAACATGAAATAGCATATCGCTGCATCACCAATGCAGGGATATACTTTTTATAGCCTGACAATATTTCATCAGCCAACTAACAATCACACAATAAACTCAATCAAGCACGTTTACAAAGCAATGCAAACGGGCTAATTCTTCATTCATTTTGTTTTTAGGGTTCCTTTTTCAAGTAAAATTGATTTTGTTTGTTGTTAATATTTTGTTACGGTTCTGTTAAAAATTGACGTGTTTAAATTAAAATATGCTGATCATTTTGTTGATTTGTTGAAATTCAATATGTTTAAGTTCAAATGTGTCAACCTTTTTGTGGGCTTGTTTAAAAAAACAATATTGTTAGTTGCTACTTGCTAGCACTTAATATCAAATGGTTAGTTGTTACTAATTAATAATTACGAGCTATTATTTAATTATATTATGTATTCTATTTCTAGGTGCCCAAGTGAAAATTCGGTCTATAACCAGTAACCACCACTACTAATGGGGGTGACTTTGGATGCAAGTCAAGGGTATGCAATATATTTAATGATAAATTGATTTCATCATTTTTCTCACTTCAATATATATATATATATATATATATATATATATATATATATTGTTTTTGTTACAGTATGAGAGAAGTTGACAGGCAATTCCTTGCTGCTCCTGTAAAGTCTGCTGTTGATAAGTTTCAGCTACTTCCCGAGTTTCTCAAGGTAAATGCACTTAAATTTAAGTATTCAATTAGCCATTGGTGAAAATTGAAAGGATCACTTCCTTGTAGAAATATAAGGATGTTTTAGTAAAACTGTTGGAAATCTCTAGATTGTCAATCTCAAGAAATCTGCTAGTTGCAGTAAGGGTCTGTTTATGGCAGGACTTCAAAAAGAGTAAACTGTAAAGGGTTGAGTAATTTCTTAAAGGGTTAAGTAAATGAATTGAAGTGGCATCCTATTTTCATTTCTTTGTATTACAATATCGTATTTTGAAAAATCTACCACTGATAGTAAATATTATCTGGATACAAAGCAATTTCAATTGCTATAATTGGGTTGCTTTTTCAAAGTATATTTCCTTAATAAATAGAGAAAACAGTTGAAAGTACAATGTTGTAATTTAGTTGGTGATTTTAAAGTACAACGCTTTAATAAGAAGACAGTTGAAAGTGCATTGTTATAATAGAAAGAAAGGAAAGTAAGATACTATAATACATTGCTGTTTATATATTAGTATGTGTGTGTTAACTTTTAAAGAGTTGCAGGTGAGGGGATTAGTGAAGGAACATTTGGACTCCTTTAATTATTTTGTCAATACTGAAATAAAGAAGATTGTTCGTGCTAATGACCTTGTGAAAAGTAGATTGGATGATAAGGTCTATCTCAGGTAGAAGAATGCCATTCTATGTCTTTTTTTTTTTTTTTTTTTTTTTTTTTTTTGTAAATTCTATATCATTTAAAGATCCAATTTTGTAATTCATGTGCTTTGCTAACACATTCCACTTGCTACTTAAATGCAAGTATATTGATTCTATAGTCAGTTTCTTATTAAGTAGTTTTTATTATGATGGAATCGGAGAAAGAATGGAATTACTCATTCCATTGGAAATTTGGAATAATAAAAAGCTATTTCTTTTTGATTCCATCATGGAATGAAATGAAAGATCGCAACATGACCTTTATTTTTATGTAACTTTTTTAAAAATACTGCGATTTTCATTAAGTTATTATCTTGTTTTCTAAATTAATCAAAAACTATAATATTTTCTTTTATACTATACTCTTATCTGAGTTAAAACTATACATTGTATTTTCGTATGTTTAATATTCCATTCCATCTTGCCAAACAAACCCATAAGTGTTGTGTGGGTAAATGATGTTATATTAAATATTTGAGATAATCAGGGAATTTTTTTAAAAAAAAATTAGGAGCTAATAGGGAACGCCCCTTCCCCTAACTTTCTCTATTAAGTTGTTCTTTCAGCAACAAGTCAAAAAGAAACACACCTCTATAGCTTACCAGACTAAGTCCTGTCTGATTAAGTAGATTAAGTCAAGAAGAAACACCATTTAGTTCTTTTATTATAATAATCTTATTTTTTTTTATCTTTTTGTGTGGTTATGGCAGATATAGAGATGTTTGGATTGGAACACCTTCTGTGGTTGTTGATGGTGTTACCGATGAAATGAGTCCTCAAAAGTGTCGGCTAGGTGACATGACGTAAGCATTGAGGGAAAATTACAAAAAACCCCCTTCATATATATATATATATATATATATATATATATATATATATAGAGAGAGAGAGAGAGAGAGAGAGAGAGAGAGAGAGAAGTTGTATAACAATGTGACAACGCTTGACCATCTCCATCCTGCCTTAATTTTATACTTGTGATTTTTTATTTTTGTTTTTGTTCATTTTTTAGGTATTCGGCTCCAATATATGTGAACATTGAGTATTGCAATGGCAATCATGGTCAAAATACCCATCCACTGTTTAAAGTAAGTTCTAATTTCTTTGTTAATATTTTCATCATCACTTTCTGAGCTTAAATGTTAAATCTTTCATTGCAGAGAGAAGTTATTATAGGTAGAATGCCTATCATGTTAAAGAGCAGTAAATGTGTCCTTTATGGGAAAGATGAAGATGAACTTGCAAAAGTAGGTGAATGCCCACTTGACCCGGGCGGATATTTTGTTGTGAAAGGAAATGAAAAGGTGACCTATATAATCTCAAGTTTATACACTTTTAATGCCATAAATGGATAAATGCAAAAAAAAAAAAATAGCAATATACTTTTGGTTATATATTTTTTGTAGCATCTTATTTTAATTTCTTTCGTTTACAACGTTGTGCTTCCGTTTATTTCTTATTAGGACATTGCACTTTTAAAAATCTACCCAGTTAAGCATTGTACTTTTGATTTTGAGTTTTTTGGTTTATAAATTAGGTATATGTTTTTATCCTTTTTTTTTGTAATATTGTTTTTTGATTGAACGCATGTTTAAAAGACACTTACTCTATTTCTATCAATTCCTAATAAACTTTTTTTTTACTTGAAAGCTAAAACAAAATGTGACTTCTAATGTGGAGTTGAATATATTTCTATATCTTGTCTATCAATCATTATTGATTTTATTAATGGTATGCTATTTTTTTTTTATTCTTCCAGGTTATTTTAATTCAAGAACAACTTTCAAAGAACAGGATAATCATAGACACAGATAAGAAGGGTTGGTGAGTATTAACTTCCCAAATTTTATGCTAATTTAACAAAAGGGCAAATTGTGGAAGATAGCAACGTACCTTGCCTCCTTTACCAATATTAGACAATGTGCTTTGTTTTTACCCATTATGACATGCTTACATTTTTAGTGATAATAGCAATATGTAACCCATAATAACAATGTAGTTACATTTCTTTCTTGCATAATAGCAACCCACTTGTATTTCTTTATGCATAATAGCAACATACTTACATTTCTTTACCAATTATAGCAATATGTACCAATTACAACACATTGCTCACATTGTTAGCATAAGTATATTGTTATTCTGGGTAAAAAATATAAGTACACTGCTATTATTAGTATAAAATAAAGTACATTGCTATTTCTCCCACCATTTAGTTCACTGAATACGTACGTCCTTCCTGTTTCTCTATCCAGCATCCAGGCATCTATTATGAGCAGCACAGCAATGACAAAGAGTAAAACAGTTATAGTAATGGAGAAAGAGAAAATATATTTGAGTTTGAATTCTTTTACTTCCAAGGTATAGTTTTTATCTGTATATGATTTATTTCCTTAGAATTTTGTTTATATGATTCCAAGATAAATTTTTTATTACTTCTTATAACAGATTTGAGATTCCTCTTCATTGTTTTCGTTTTGTTCTGTTTCTTTATTGGCTTTTCTTTTAGGTTCCCATCATGGTGGTTATGAAAGCTATGGGTATGGAAAGTGATCAGGAAGTTGTGCAAATGCTTGGTAGAGATCCTCAGTATGCTGCTCTGCTTTTGCCATCTATTGAGGTATGCTTCATGTTGACTTTGTCAACATTGAATTGAAGAGAAGCCTACGATTGTTTATAAAAAATGTAGTAATAATGCCTTATTTTGACAACTTTGACTTTTTTCCAACCTTTGCTTTGTATTTGGATTACATTTCTATAATCGGTCAATATTTTGTGGTACAATGTTGTAATAGGAATAAATGAAAGTATGCTCTGCTATAATAAACAAATCAATGAATATACATTGGTATTTCTCACATTTAATCCTAATTTTTATATCAAATGCAAAAGTAACCTATATGTGCTTGGTAAAAGACAATTAATACCTTGTTTTATCATTCCCATTTCAGGATTGTGCAAATCATGGTATTTATACACAAGAACAAGCTTTGGAATTTCTTGAAAAAAAGGTACATTCTATTGTTAACACGGGTACCAGAAACTTTGATTAATTGATAATTTCTTTTAAATTAATTTTAAGTTCAGATAATTCTATAGTGTAATGCATCAAAAAAGATTCTCCGAACATTTATTCATGATATTCAGTTAGAGGAAATGATGGGAATTGACTTCCATGAGTTTTAGGATGGAATGCTGAAATCCACTGATCAAAGGATTTGTGTATTCCAATGGAATTCAATTCCGTACTCATTTTCTTACTTAATACTGACAATTACATACTGAAACATCTTTTTTTGCTTACACATATTATGTCCGTTTCTGATTATTCATGTGTTTAATGCCAGCATAAGAAGAACAAGTTTGGTAAGGTATGTATCCTATTAAGGCTTATGGTTCATTTTATTTAGATATTTCAGAGTTTGGTTGATGTGTAACAGAAGGGTATTGTTGTCCATTTAGGATGAGGGAGCTTTGGGTGTTCTTCGGAATATCTTTATTGCCATAGTTCGGGTGAGTCAGATAGTCAAATAAAGTCAATGATTGAATATATGATTTTTTAATGTATTGTATATCTATCTATCTCTCTAGGTGCGAGATAATAATTTTCATCCAAAATGCGTATATGTTGTGGTAATGTTGAGACGCATGATGGATGCACTTTTAAACAAGGATTCCATGGATGACAAAGTAAGTTATGTACTTTAATTGACTTATTTATCATATTATCCTACTTTCAGTTCTTCCTACAATCCTACTACAACATTATACTCTAAGAATCTACATAATTATACAGAATACAAAGCAATTTTCACTGCTACAATTGGGTTGATTTTTCGAAGTGTAAATATGAAAAAAAAAAAATGAAAGTAAGATGCTATAGTACACAAATAAATGAAAGTTTATTGCAATTTTTTGTGTGTGCACTTTCATTGATTTATTTCTTATAAGGTAAGTGCAAATATTGCAACATACCTACATTGATTTATTATTTATAGCATCCTACTTTCAGTTCCTCATATTACAACATTATACTTTAAAAAATCTACACAATTATAACTATGTCAATGAATTACAAAGCAATTTTCACTTCTACCATTGGGAGATTTTTCAAAGTATAATGTCCTAATAAGAAAAAAAAATTGAAAGTAAAGTGCTATATTTGGATAGGGTTTTTAGAGTGCTAAGAAAATGGTTTGAAGTATAATGCTGTAATAGAAAACTGGAAGTAGGATGCTAGAGTACACAAATAAATGAATTTACATTGCTATTTTTTGCATTCAGCCGTGTGTATATACACACACACACAGAGTACTTTACTGATTGTCAATTCAATGAGTTTACAGGATTATATAGGCAATAAGCGACTAGAGCTTTCGGGGCAATTAATATCAATATTATTTGAGGTGAGTTGCTTGACAAGATTACTTTTTTTAGTGTTATTTTCATCAGTGTTAATTTTTTTATAAAATATTTGGTTAAATTTCATATTTCAGGACCTGTTCAAGACACTGAATACCAATTTAGCTAAGCTTGTAGATTCAATCCTAAACAAGAGCAGTCGTTCTAGCAGGTTTGATATATCTCAGGTATGTCAGTTTTATTAATCTTTACCTACCATGTGATACATACTATACTAGTAACTTATTTTATTGTCATCTTTTTGTTAAATAAAATATTTGTGTCTAAACATTTTAAACTTTGAAATCAGTGTTAGACTGTTTTCATATTATAACAGGATTAATCCAACACACTTCAATTTATTTGTTTATTATAGCATCCTACTTTCAAATCTTTGTACTTCCAATTTTATCTTCCTAAGGTTTTGTACAATGCTATAATAGGCAGAAATGGAAGCAGGATGCTATAGTAACCATTTTTTTTGAAATTAACAAATTCAAAAGAATATGAAAAATTATACTAATAATATTGTCTGTGTTTTCAAATTAACTACAGTAGATTACTCCTCAAATGAAGATTTATTCACAGCTATACAAGAAGATTTGGTCAATTTTTTAAACATGTTTGAATATGATTAATTTAACAGAAAACTTATGAATGATTTTTAGTGTGCATAGTTGGAATCTAGATATTTTATAAATATGACTGATTAACAGTACTCAAAACGATGTAGTTTTGAGTAAAAAGTTCATCCTTCTGGTTTAGTGGGCACACATGGTTCTTGTGGAGTTATAAAACCACTCAAAACGACATAGTTTTGAGCTTTTGTTGTGCTTAAACAGTTTATAATTTATATTTTTTATTTTTATGCAGCATCTAATGAAAGATGATATTACTAATGGCTTGGAGCGCAGCCTCTCTACTGGAAATTGGAACGTTCAGCGATTTAAGATGGACAGAAAAGGCATAACACAGGTGATTATTTCCCTTTTTCTAGTATACTTTATTCGTGTCAACTTTATCCATAAAAGTATATGTTATGTTATGTTCACAATCTATAAAAAGAAATCTGAAAAATTCACTTGTAACAGATTGTTTCAAGGCTGTCCTTCATTGCAGCATATGGATACATGACAAAAATTTCACCACAGTTTGAAAAGTCAAGGAAAGTCAGTGGACCTAGGGCCTTACAACCTAGCCAGGTATGTGCCACATATATATCAATCTTGAAGTGTCACATCACGACCCAAAACTACGTCGTTTTGATGTGTTGTACTACAATGACAGTGGGGAATGCTTTGCCCATGTGACACTCCTGAAGGTGAACAATGTGGATTGGTGAAAAATTTGGCTTTGATGACCCATGTTACAACTGATGAAGAGGAAGGCCCTATTATTACCTTGGTATTTCTTGCTTTCATGATTTTTTTTTATAATTATTTGTATATATATATATATATATATATATATATTGTGAAGTTGAAATTTATTTTGTTTTAATAAACAAATCAGTTAAAGTATGTTGCTATTTGTAGAATCTAAACATCTTTGTTGTCAATCAGTGTTCCTGCTTGGGAGTTGAAGACTTGTCTCAACTTTCTGGAGAAGAACTTCATTCACCAAGTTCATATCTCATCACATTAAATGGTCTTATCCTTGGAAAGCATAGGAAGCCACAGGTTATATCCATATATTACACTTTTTGATATAATTATTTAATGTTATCACATCATTATATTCATATTTATCTACTCTTTTATATAAAAATTTCTAGTTCTTTGCTAATGCAATGAGGAAACTGAGAAGGGCGGGTAAAATAGCAGATTTTGTAAGCGTTTATGTCAATGAGAAACAAGTAAGCAAGCAAGCTCTCCAGACTTTCAAAATTCACAAAGTCACATGTGTTGCACAGCCAGGGGTAAAATGGTCATTTTTTTTTGGCAGCGTTGTGTTTATATAGCTTCAGATGGTGGGCGTGTTTGTCGGCCACTTGTTATTGCTGACAAAGGTGTTTCAAGAATTAAGCATCATCACATGAAAGAGTTGAAGGTATGTTGATACCCAATCAGTTAAATGCAAGAAATAGCAATGTAATTTCATCTTTATAATTTATAACATTCTATTTTCATTTCTTCATTAAAGGATGGAGTTCGCAATTTCGATAGCTTTCTACAGGAAGGATTGATAGAGTATCTTGACGTCAATGAAGAGAACAATGCTTTGGTTTGTTAATTTTTCAACTTTTTGGAAATAAAAATATTCCAAATGATTATATATATATATATATATAACTTGCGTTCTTATTTAATTTTATGATCTTAGATTGCTTTATATGAAGGAGAAGCCACCAGTGAGACAACACATATTGAAATAGAACCTTTCACAGTCTTAGGTGTTTGTGCTGGGCTCATTCCTTTTCCTCATCATAACCAGTCCCCAAGAAATACCTATCAGGTCCTTATTCCTACTTTTTTATAGTCAAATTGTAGGAAATAGCAATGTACTTTACTCTTTTTACCAATATAGGCAATGTACTTTATTCTTTACACAAGATAATAGCAACATACTTAAATTTTTTAGCTATATGTAACCTCAAACTCGTAGGATACTAAGATGTACTTTATTTTAAGCATTATACAAATAGTACCAATATGTAACATGAAACTTGTTATACATTGCTGTTACCAGTAAAGAAAATGTAAGTATGTTGTTGTTAAGGATAAAATTGGTAGTGAGAGTAGAGCAAATTGTGTCCTTTTCCTTTTCAATTCTGTCTTTGTTATGCTGGATGATTATGTTTTTGCTTTCAGTGTGCCATGGGAAAGCAAGCAATGGGTAATATTGCATATAACCAGGTATATAAATTTCTCTACTTCCTACACTAGTCATCAAATTTTATATTGGTAATAAAAAACTCATTAATTATATTTCAATACAAAAATACAGGCAAACAAAACATGATCATGGAATGTCATGATTTGTTCCATTACCTTGCTTATTCCATTTCTGTTCTTTTTTCATTCCATTCCATTCAACGAAACATACCCCAAATGTTTATTACATGTTTACATGCATTAGATTATATATATATATATTATATATATATATATATATGTATATATATATATATATATATATATATATATATATATTTATGTGTAGTGACTTGAGACTTGCATGTTGTGTTTCTTTAAATGAAGCTATGTCGGATGGATACTTTGATCTACCTTTTGGCTTATCCTCAACGACCACTATTGACAACTCGAACAATTGAGCTGGTATATATTTTGTCTTATCTCACCAAATTATACAAGTTCATTGCTTTTCTTTATTAGTAAAAATAAATGTAAAAAGTTCCTTTCTTTTTTAGGTTGGGTATGATAAGCTTGGAGCTGGACAAAATGCAACTGTTGCAGTTATGAGTTATAGTGGTTATGATATTGAAGATGCCATTGTTATGAATAAATCATCTTTGGATCGTGGTTTTGGTCGTTGTATTGTAATGAAAAGGTACTTATAACATTATCCGTATTATCTATTATCTGTTTGACTGTTGTCTGTTGTTAAAGTTGCTTTCTTTTATGCATTTTCCTAAACAGGCACACAGCTGCCTTTCAGAAATATCAGAATTCATGTGATAAGTTTTCTCCA